ACAACATTGGCCCTACTCCAAAGAGATGCTGTTGACCATTGGACAGGAAAGCATGGAGAGGATTGCTACCAAGAGAAGGAAGGGAGGGAGGGAGGGAGGGAGGGAGGGAGGGAGGGAGGGAAAGAGGGAAAGAAAGAAAAGAAAGCAAGATTGTTGTTCTCAGGATGCTAATCTCTGACCTGGCCCCCCCTCTCACACAAGCCTGGAATCCCAGAGAATTCCCGGGAGGTGGCTGGGCCCTACCAGGAACTCCCTAGTCCTCGGCACCTCACTGGTCTCTGCAAGTTTACGACCGCTGTCCTGGAAGGCACCAGACCTCGGAGAAGAATGCTTTGCCTTTCTGGCTTCCGTCTCCCACCCCATATGTCGAGTTGGAAGAGCTCCAAGCCTCTTTCAGGCATGACCTATCACAATATACTAAGGTATATGAGAAAACACCACACCTGCCCAGAGTGACGCAGACACACCCCAGCAAGGGGGGATGGGATCTAGCTGTGTCCTCATTCTCTGCATCCCACCATTGGACTCCCAGACACCAGCTGGGACAGGATTCTGGGCTCAGGGTCACATGCTTGAGGTGTGGCTTCTGCAGGAGCCGTGCTGTCTTTGACTCATGTAACCACACCACAGCCAGGGCTGAGAGGCAGCGAAGGGTCTCAGGCTGGGGCCAGTTGTGGCCTGCCGGGTCTGCTATGACAGGTAACTCGACCGAGGAACAAGAGACCTGCCCGAGCTCCGGCAGGACTGCAGGGATGTCCAAAAGGCCTCCTGGAGGCAGAGTTGTGCGAAGGCCTTGAGAGGGCACATGGGCGTCTGACCAAGCCCCAGCCCTTCCCCTGGGCACCTGAGACAGTGAGTTTGCAGTCTCCTTGCAGGACATGGTGGCCTTCCCGAGATACATCCCACAGCAACCCCAACACCCTGGGCCTGGGGGTTCCCAAGAGTCCTGCCTCAAATCCCCCGGCACCTGCCCAGAGTGCTGCGGATCTCAGTGTTGGTCCCTTTCCCTAGCTTCCAAATGTCGCCTCCTCTTAGAGATCAGGCCACTGTCCCCTACTCTGGAAGCCAAGGAGCTGGGGGGGGGGGGGCGGGTGGCAGGGGGAGGCCTGGCTTTGGGATGGTGAGACAACAGTTGACTCAGCTGAGCAAGGTCCAAACAGGCTCTGGAAAGGCAGGTCGCAGGCCCAGCTCTGCCACTACCTTCTTCTGTGGCCTTGGGCGCACACCTCCCCTCCCCAGGCCTCAGTGGGCCCTACTGACAAGGGCTTTGCAAATGGGTATCTGGGAGCATTCTCCAGCTCTGGCCATATAGGATCAGTATTTTATTGATCCAAATTACTGGGTTTGATATGCCCCAGCCTGCTGGCCCCTCCCCTCAGAACAGAGGCCAACACCTGGGAGCAAATAAACTGGTTCCTCCAGCCTGGAAGGCCCAGCCTTGTAGCCCCAGCCCAGCCTCTCCAGACAGTTCTTCTCCAGCCCGAGAGGTTCCAAGGCCCTCTTGGGCTCTCCCTCTATTCCTCCGTGGCCTCGCACTTACACTGCCCTGCAGCTATCAGGCACCCCTGCCGGCCTGCTGGGATGCAGAGGGCCCAGCCCCAGGGGCGTGGGGAGGCGGGGAGGGGCAGGCCACTGGCAGGAACCTGGACAAACCTTTCCCGGCCTGGCAAAGCCTCTTCCCTCTTCCCTCCCAGAAGCCCTGACATAGCAGTCAAAGGGATCTGTGGAAACACCCAGACCTTACCGTGTTGCTTCCGTGTTCAATGCTCCCCAGAGCTCCTTCCAACCCTCTGCACCCCTCCAGGAACCCGCCGTCTCAGCCAGACAGATTTCTGTACCCTTGGGCACTTCCTGCTCACCCACCTCATTCCCAGCCAGCAGCAGTGCAGAGGGACTAGTCCAACCCCCTAGTCTTTATTCAAGCCCCACGGAGAAGCCGGCCCCTCCCCACCTTCCTGTCTGAAGCCTGCTAGTCTTTAAGGAACAGTTCCTAGAGCCGTCCAGCCTTCTCCATTTCAAGCCACCCGGGCTTCCTCCGAGTCTGCTTTGCACTGAGGCCTGCCCACGCATAGCTCTCCTTGCAAAGCACCATCTCACAATGGACCTCCTAGACCCTTCCCCACCGGGGCCCCACCCCCACAGCTAGCAGCCTTTCATCCCAGAGGCAGGTCTTCTCCCCCTTTGTCTGCTAGACCAAGGGCTCCCTCAGAGCAGAAGCAAACCCCACTCTCCTTCCCTGCCTTTCCTCTCAAGACTGAGCGTGGGCACCACAACAATCCTGGTCTGTGTGACGGAAATCTCCCCCAGAGATTGGGAACTGGCAGTAGCCATTTGGGATCCACCCCGCACGATTTATCCAACACTTTCTGGGCCCTGGTTACACGCTCCCTTGTACCTGGGATCGCTGGGATCGCGGGGCAAGGTGAAAGTGCTCTCGCTGCCTCCCCTCCGCTCCTGGCTGCTCTGCACCAGCCTGAGGATGCCATCCACTGGGCTACAATGGGATGGCCCTGCGGTCATGCACTATGGTGGCCCTGGGGCACAAACCCTCATTTCTTCCCTTGCAGGCGGTTCCTTGCCAGCTTTTAGAGGGAACACCTCACAAATCATGAAGAGGACCCCTCACTCACAGGCCAGGCTCTCACGGCCTCCACCTCGGCCCTCAGTGTCCCTTCGTCCCCAGAGTGAAGGCCTGGTCACTTCTGACCATCGTTCTGCCCATGCGAGCAAGCTGGTCCTGAATGGCCATCCCTCTCTGCGTTACATCCTTTCCTTGGGCCTCGGTTTCTCTAGCTGTAAAGAGAGGGACTTGGGCTCCTGTCTCGAAGGACTCCCTCTGTTCTAACGCTCACCAATCTACCCTCCAGAGACTCAGCCAGTGGGGAGATGCGACTCCCATACACGCATGACTGCAGGCCGGTTTCAATTCAGTAGCTTTAGGAGCCGAAGGAAGAGGGACATTGGCAAAATGCAAAGTAGCCTGGAAGAGCTGAGAAAAGGAGTAATCCGATTTTGCTGGGGTCAATCCCTAGGGCTCCTCGGGGTGGCGGCGGCGGAGTGTGGGAGAGAAGAGCCAGGGCGTTCCATCCACAGAGGAGGGGCGCCGTGCGCCCTGAGGGGAAGGGCCAAGCGTGAAATTGCAACAAGGAAGGCAAACTGTTTGATGCTCCAGGCAGGGCAGTTTTTTCATCTGTCACTGGAACCAGTTCCCACGGACTCTCAGCCTAGGGACCAGGGGACCCACAGGCCAAGGCAGGAGGATGAGACAGCACCCCCATTCCAGGAGAGGGGTGACCTGTCAGGGCAGTGATGGAGAAATCCCACCATGAGAGCCCGGAGGGTCGGGCAGAGCCAGCTTCAGGGAGCTGGTTCTCTGAGTATCTGGGTCCAGATGTTTTAAAAGGGGGAGAGTAACATTTCCTATTTCGCAGGATCCTTGTGTACGTTGCCTGGTGCACAGTACAAGCAGTAAATATTCACTACTATTGTCACAGCAGTGCCCTGGCAGGCGATCTGTGCCCAGGGGGGCACGTACCCGCACACACATGCCCACATAGAGCGCGGGGGGGGGGGCGGCGAAGAGGCAGACACACACCCTGTCTTGTGCCCTTTGGGAGGAGAGGTGGTGGGGGAGAACCCAGCTCCGTCAGGGAAGGAGAGAGATTCTTTTCCAGCATCAATGGTGTCATGTCACTGTGCCTCCCCCAGGAGGGGAGAAGGGAGGGAAGTGAGAAAAGGGGTGTTCAGATGTGCCCGGTACTTGCTGTGTCTCACACAAGCAGCCCCACCCCAAAAGGATCCTCAGGGACAGAATGGAAATATATTCTCGGGCACCTAAATCATATACCCAGGTCATGCACCGGGGGGATCGGAACCCAGTTCAGGGTTCGGGCAGCATTTGGGGGGTGGCAGTGGATTCACACACAGCCCAGTGGTATTCACGCCCAGTGTGTGTACATGTGAATTCACACCCATTCCATCACTTCCATCGCTTATGGGCAGAGTGGTGGGTGGAGTTTGTGCCAAGCCAATGCCTAGTCCCAGGGGATGGCATGGCACCTGCCAACGTCACATGTCGGATATGAGTTCATGGCAGATTTATTTACACGTGCCAGCCTCACAAGCCAGCCCTGCTGAGGCCAGGCTTGCTGCCCCCACTGTACCATCGGCCGGTTGGGCTTTCCTTAACCCGAGACTCCCAAGGCACCAGCGGGCCCATAGTGTGCAAACAGGGGCAGAGCCTGGTCCACATCCCGCTCCCCAGTGCCCAGCTCAGAACCTGGCACAGAGCAGATGTTGGTGAATGAACGTCGGGCTGAATGAATGAGCGGATGACTAACGCCCACTTCTCACACCACAGGCTACACGCCTGAGTCTGAAAGAGGGCAGCGCCCACGGGACCCCAGAGGAGGTCGCACCTTCAGACCTTGGCACCTGAGGCTCTGCCTCTCGGGGTCCGGGTGGGGGGAGGGGGCGGGACGGTCACCAGCGTGTATGGCGTGAAGGACCTCTCCTTGCCAAGAAGAAATCTCGGTCGCCTCACTGGCCCGCGGGCAGGGGATTGTTGCGTCCTGGATAGAGCAAGTGGCAGGACCAGGAGGCGCGTCCTGGTTAGGGGGCGTGGGATGCAGCGGCAGCCGCGGGACAGCCCCTTCGGTTCCCGTGCCCGGGTCTGCCCAGGGCCTCCGCAGGGTGATGAAAGCTCCCACAGCCCGACTGGCCAGGGGCGCCGCAGCTCTGGCCCTTTCCAGTGGGGCCACGGCGAGGGGGACACGGTGTCCCACGAGGTGACTGTGGGCACGGGAAGGACGCGGGGCGCTCGGAGCCCCCTCTGCACGCGCCGGGGATCCAGCCTCAACACCGTCCACTGCAGCCCTCCCAGAACCCCCGCCCACCTGCGCGAGGGGCTCACCTGGGCCGGCGGCCCCTCCAGGAGCAGCGCGGGTCCCTCCCCCGAGCCACCGGCCCTGCCCTCCCGGCGCCCGCCCGCCCGCCCTCACCTGCACGGCCCGCCTTGGCCATGTCCCGGGCGGCGGGCTCCAGCTGAGCTGCCCGGCTCCTTGCGGCTCCCGGGATCGGCCCCGGCTCCGAGCCGCCTCCGGCCCGAGTGGACTCCGAGCGCCGCGCCCCGCGCCCCCACCCCGCGCGCTCGCCAGCCGCCACCGCAGCCGCCGCCTCACCGCTCCCTCCCGCTCCCTTAAAGGCGCCGAGCGGCGGCCGCGCCGGCCCCCCCGCCGCCGGGGAGGGACTGACGGAGGAAGGCGCCCAACCCGCCCCCGCGGGCCCGCACCCCGCCCGGGCCGCGGCCGCCGCTCCAGCCCGCTCCGCTCCGGCCCGCGCGGCCACCGCAGCGCGCGGGCGCGACGGCGCCCGAGACCCGGCCGGGGCGCAGAGACGGGCGAGACCGCGCTAGAGACACGAGACACTGCGGGCCAGACTGAGATGAGGATGGGAACTGGGAGTCAGGGGAGCAGAGACAGTGAGACACAGCGCTGGAGATACCCCCCTGGGGCCGAACCGCCAACGGGAGAGAAATTCAGAGACAAAAATTCAGAGACTAGAAACACAGAGCCTGGCACCGGGAGAGCGACTGAGCCAGCAGAGATGAGGAAAGGGGAAGGAAGAAGGGACATGGGGAGGTTCCCACGGAGCCAAGAAGGACGTGGCTCCAGAGATCGTAGACAATAGATGGACCTCTTCATCAGCCCCTACCCCAGAACTCTGGATCATTTCTAGGGGCTGACTTAGCCTCAGAGGGGAAGAGATTTCTATGCCCTGAACTCTAAAGGAAACTGTACAACGCGTGCAAATCCTCCTGGGACTCCAGTCGGGAGCAAAGTTTGCGGAGGCCAGGAGCCTAGCTGAGAGCAGCACCCCCTCCACCCCCAAAACCTGGGATGCAGACGTTTTGGTAATCTGTCCTGGGGGAGGCTGGGGAGATTTGGGCTGTGGCTTCTGCAGCCAGGGACCCACAGTCCGGCCCCAGCAAGGGGCACAGGTGGCCAGCTGTCCTGCAGGAGCATGGGTGGTAGCCAGGGGGGACGCCCCAGGGGATAAGCAGGGCCAGGCCAGGGCCAAGGGCCCAGCAGACACCCACCAGGTTTTGGCAGCTCCCAAAGCCAGAAAAGGGGGAGGGGTAGCTGCTCTTCAGATAACTTTTCAACCCCCACCAAGCCCTCCCCGGAAAAGACGCCCTCTGCTTCCTTCTGAAGAATTGGGAAGGGATAAAGGCCCATGGCAATCTGTGCCAAGTCACCACAGCCACTCTGTCGCACCTCAGCATTCCAGGGCAAAAGCCCATCTGCTCATTTCACCCGTGGGCTGGCCATGGTCCTGATTCCAGGGTTCTATCAGCCCCTCCATGCAAACAGGAGCCTCAGTGGGCATTTAGACCAGCACCCCCTCTCTAGGGCTCTGAGTCTGCCCACAGAATCCTCCCCTCCAAGTGGCCCTTCAGCTCTCGGCTCATTACATCCAAGGACAGGGAGCCCAGGACCTCAAGCAAGAGTTCTTCCGTCTTTGGATGGTGCTGGCCCTGAGAGTGTTTTCCCCTCATTAGAGCTTAATTCTGTATCTGTTATGACCCACCAATGAGCCCTTCTTATGCCTCACCCAACAAATCCAAGGCTCCCCAGGGCCCTGTCCCAAATCCCTAGGGTAGCTTCATTAACCACCCTCGTAGGCCAGAGACTGTGCTGGCTTTACCACTGCAAGTCCCACATCCCAGGAAAGCCTTCGGCCCTACGAACCCTGAACGGCCGTGCTGACGCCAGCACACGGAGTCTCAGGAGCTCTGAGGCGGTGAAGCCAGAGCTGCTCTCCGGAGTGGCCGCTGGTCACCTGCTGGGAGAGCGGGAATGGATGCTGGCAGCCTTTCTCGGTGCCGGGCGAGGCGGGGCGGGAGGAGCAGCGCATGTCTGTCATCCAGGCAGGGTGCTCAGGGCTATACACACGCCATGTCGTTGAACCCTCAGGTGCCCTCTGAGGTCTACGGTGTCATCCCCAGCTTACACGTAAGGAAGCAGAGGCTGAGACAGCCTGGTGCTCGTGGACGTTTGGGATTAGATGTTAAGCCTGTGCTCTGTCCTGCCCTCACCCTTCCCTGCAGGTGGGGCTCAGAGGCCTGACCGTCGGGCTCATGCCCAGGTTTGGCCACCTGGTCTGTGGGGGTGAGTGGCCACAGAGGAGAGATAAACCAACTTCACAGGGGACTCACCTGGGTCTGAGCAGCTCCCCAGGCCCTTGGCTCATGGCAGTAATAGGGACCACAGTCTGCGCACGCGCACCTGCTTTCACACCTACACACACACAGGCAAACACACCCTGCTCAGGGAAGAGGAGCTCTGAGGTGGGCGCTGAGACCCCTCCCCACCACTCAGTCCAGCCACCACGAACCCTTGGGAGAGGGCGGGGGGGGGGCAGTGAAGGGGAGGTGCCGAGTCGAGGGACATTGCAGAAGTCATCTAGCCAGACCCCCTGCACACCCTCACCTCTCAGGAGGGGAGACAATGAGCCAGAGGTGGAGGGCACATGCCACGTGACCACCACGGACTTCCCGGCTCGAGCCTCGGCGTCCCCTCCCTAAACCACCGCAGCAACCCCAGCCATGTGGGAAATGCAGCCCCCGTGCATAGGTCTAGAGTCTGACAGGGAATGTGGGGCCCTGGCCCCCCCAGGCAGTCCCTGGATGTGCTCGCTGTTACCGGCTGCCAAGGAAGTCTGGCCCTGCCTTCAGACAGAGCCAACATGTCAGGACTCAAGGCCATTAGATTAGCCGGTGGGAGTCAGCTTCCTGTGTCAGTAGAATCGCCCTTAATTGAAGAAAAGAATAACTAGCAATTCTGAGATGCTGACCTTGGCTGCCCGCAGGAGCCAGCAGGTGTTTCTTGAGCCTCCCAGCTCTGGGGAGGGAAGCGACAGTGCCCGGGCTCCAGACGAAACGCATTCTCTGGGACCGGCGGCCCAGGCCCTTTCCTCTGACCGCAGTTGGTTCTGTGTCTGCTTCCAGAGCGGCCAGCTGCTCCCAGGCCCAGCCAAGCATCACAGCCCAGAGACCTGGGGAAAAAGAATTGTGCAGAGCCCAGTGCTGCCTCCTACCTGGGAGCGCGTGCGCACAGATGTGGGCAGCTGGGGGGCCCCCAGGCAGGGAGCGGGAGCCGGCTGGGATGGCCCCCGCATGGCAGGCGTGAGGCCGGGGTGTCGATCCTGGACTGGCGGTATCCAAGCATTTAGAGAGGGAAGCGACCGTCTTTAGGAGCCAACACGGCCCCGTGGAAGAGCAATCATGCCAGGCTACGCTCACGTTCCTTCCGGACACATTACGACGGGAAGTTAGGAATTGCCCTGCCTGCCGGACCTGGCGAGGCTGCTGCCCGGCTCTCTGACAGTGACTTCCTGGGCAGCATGGGACTCAGGCCGGACAATGGGCCGGTCAAGGGACTTACCCCTATCCACTGCTGATGGAAGAACGCCTACACAGGACTTGGGCCGGCCCACTCAAGCACTTCAGCAGAAGTTACAACGACAGAGAAGTCCCACTGCCCCCGCTGGCGTCACATTGTTATCCCTCACCTGAGCCACTGGAGACGCCGCCCTCCCTGCCGCATCCACTGGCCTGGCTCTCTGCCCTTCTCAGCCCCTCCTCGCCGGCTCCCACACTTTAAAGTCCCCTAGGTGTTGTCCACTTCCACGGGGCCCACTTCCAATCACAAAAGCAGCCCCGGAAAGAGATATTCTTCTTTGGAGCCTTCCAGAATAGCTCTGAGAGCGGCAGGTGTGTTCTCACCACTGCCTTCCAGCCCCAGGGTGCCCCCAGTTCTGCCCACCAGCCAGGACACTGGGCGGAAAGGGCGGTCCACTGACACTGCGTTTCTTCCCCTCCTGGCTGATGACTGTGGCTAATCTAGTCTGCACTTCGACCCTCGACCCAAGAAGGATTAGGACCCTGCCTGCCTGTCCTCATCCCCTCTGGGGAGAGCCCCTTCCCAGCATTACATGGACACCCAAGGCCTCACTCACGCTCACAGCAGATGCGATGTAGGGGGCGCTCGTTTGTGGTTCCCTGCAGAGGCAGGCAGATTCCCTTAAGATGAACGAAGGACCTCCAAGGAGATCCCCAGACCTCTGTGTGTAAGGATCCCCTGCCAAGACAGACCGCCTCCCCCCCAGCAGACGAAACCAACCACTCTACTAGACCCTGGCTGCGTTCCCACTCTACGCCACAAGGGTGGGCTGTGGAATCCAGGCAGTGCTCACGTGCATAGGTCCTCAGTGTTTTCAAAAGCTATTTAGGACGCCTTGCAGAACCTGTTAAACGGGACTCATCAGATCTGCACTTGAGTGCTGAGGTGCACGGAGACCCGAGCTTGAATTTCCTGTCATCAACCGCTGTTTCTCTCGCTCCTCGGTCTCACCCAGTGGGATTTGGGAGAGAGGGTCTGGGGACGCTGAGGGGTGAGATTTTCAAGTAGAAGGGTGGTTGGATGGAGGCAGAATGACGTAGCAGCTGCTCCAAGGCGGGGAACCGTGCAGAAGGAGCTGGTTGAAGAGGGAGGCTGTGCAGGAGTTCACGCTGTGTAACGGAGAGTGGGCCGGCAGGCCCCTCTGCTGCCCACAGAGCTGGCTGCAGCCACTCACCTCCTCCTCCAGCTTCAGCTTCTGCTGTAGGAGCTGTGTTTTGTGTTTGTTTGATGTCAATGCTGCTGAGATTGTCCCCGAGAAAGCTCAGTTGTCTTCAAGTTACACTTTGACCAAATGCAAGTTAGAAACTAGGTGAAAATCTAAAACAACGCAGCAAAAGTAGCCTTTGCCATCTGTAACACCCGGTCAGCACCAGGTGCAGGCAAGGAGGGCGTGTGAAGGGCCGCGTGCGGAGTCAGCCTCACCACCCCCTCTTCCTGCCCCCCCCCACAACGCTGTTTATTTATGGCAGATGCCAGAACTCAGAAAACCAAACACAGTTGTAGATGATAAGGCACTGAAAAAGCAACAGATCAGCAGGGAAAATAGCCTGTGGTCCCTGATTACGACTACATCAGTATCGACAAGGGCAGGAAATCAGGCTCAGATTATGTCAACAGATTATGTCATAGACAGTGGCT